CTGTGGGGAAGAGATCATAAGGGCTCTCACTTCTTTATGGATTAATTCGCTGATGGGATGATAATTTGATGGATTATTTTTGGGGTTTGTTTGTTTGTTTTTGAGACAGAGACTTGCTGTGCAGTTCAGGCTGGCTTTGAATTCACTACATAGCCCAGGCTGACCTCAGACTTGCAGCAATCCTTTTGCTTCTGCCTCCTGGAGTTACAGGCATGCCCCACAAGGCTTGGCAGTTTGATGGATTTTGGGCAGTGATGGAAACGCGAAGTGTGGCCTTGATGAAGAGTGGATTGTGAGCTCTGACCATGGGAAATGTATCTAGTCTCAAGCCCCTTTCCATCAAGTTCCTCTCTCTCTCTCTCTCTCTCTCTCTCTCTGCTTCCTAGACTCTAACAGGTGAGTGGCGAGCCTCCTTCATGCCCTTCTACCATTATGATTCTGCCTGGGAGCCAGCCTATTATGGACTGAAGCCTTTAAAACTGTAAGTCAAAATAAATCTTTCCTCCTTTATATTGTTGCAAGGTATTTTGTCATAGTGACAAAGAGCTACCGACCCACCACAATTTCCTTTAATTTGAGCAGGAGTGGGCATTACCCACAAGTCAATCTGGTAGCCATGGTAAAAGTAACATGTCCATTTACTGGAGACTGTGGTTAGCTGAGTCCTCCAAGCCTACAAGTCTACTGTCTTGATGAAGGACCCAAATTTACATGTCAGAAGTAGGGTTTTTTGAATTATTATTTTAACACTCAATCAAAACTATGTACAATAAATTTTTACTGTATTTTACATAAGATAGACACCAGAGAAATTTACAGTTAGAAGAAATATAGACAGTTAAGGAGGGCCCAGTCCTGTGAGATACTTTCTCAAAGCACAAAAGTCAGAGTTCAGTCAGGGAAAAGGATACAGGCTGCCAGATTAAGCAGATGTTAAAAAGAAAAGCTAAAATGCAGGTCTTTGGGTAGATAACCAGACACTGGGACCACCAATACTTCCAAGGCGCCATTCTTAGACACAGCCCCCATCAAGCAATCTATGAGGATTCTTGCCCATGACTTAGAAAATACCATTCCAAAGATGTCTTCCCCATTAGGCAAAAATCCCGGACATAGGGACAACATCTCCTCCTTGCCCAGAAAAGGAAGAAACTCACAACTTTTGGACACTACTGACTCAATCTCTCCAATTTTAGTCCTTACTTCCACTTTCATTTTCTCATACCAGAGAAACAACACAGCACTCAAGCATGTGTGTCTGATTATTTCATTTAGGAGTATGGTCACAAGGTCCAACCATTTAGCTGTAAATGTCTGTAGCTCATCCTTCTTTGTGACTGAGTAGCATTCCACTCTCTCTCTCTATATATATATATGTCACAACCCACACCTTCTTTATTTACTCATTGGTGATGGGCATTTGGGATGTTTCCAAGATTTAACTATTACAAACTGTGCTGCTATAAACATGGGTGTGCTTATATTGCTGTGGGATGATGCTTTTAATTATTTTGGGAAGATATCAAGAAGAGGAATAGCTGGGTCAAATGGGTTTCAGTTTTTTGAGAACTCTCCACAGTGATTTCCACAGTGGTTGTACCAGTTTACACTCCCACAAACAGTGGGGAAAAGTTCCTTTTTCTGCACAGCCCACCAGCATTTGTTATTGTTTGATTTCATGATAACAGCCATTCTTTTTGGAGTGAGATGAATCTCAGAATTGTTTTGCTTTGCATTTCATGAATGACCAGTGATGTTGAACATTTTTTCATACATTTATTTGCTGTTTCTACTTCCTTGTCTGAGAAATGTCTTTTCATTTCAGATGCCCATTTTTGGACTGCATCTTTAAATTTAGGGGGTCTGATTTTTTTTTTAGTTCTTTATATATTCTAGATAATAGTCTTTTGTCAGATGAATAGCTGATAATTCTTTTTTCCCAAGCTATAGGTTGTCTTTCACTTGGTGGTTTCTCTTGCTATGCAAAAGCTTTTTAATGACATGAGGTCCCATAGTATTTTCTGTGCAATCTGGGTTTTGTTCATGAAGTCTTTGCCTGCTCCTGCATCCTCAAGTGTTCTACCTATTCTCTCTTCCAGAAAATTTAACTTTTACATTTTAATATTTAGATCTTTGATCCACTTTATTTTAAGTTAGTACTGGGGAAAGATATAGGTCTAGTTTCAATTTTTGCATATGGAAAGCCAGTTTTTCTAGCACCATTTATTAAAGAGGCTGTCTTTCTTCCAATTAAAGTGTTTGGCTTCTTTGTCAAAGATTAAGTGGCTGAGTATGTCTGGAGCTTTTTCTGCATCTTCTAGTCTGTTCCATTGATCCTCAGGTCTGTTCTTTTACCAGCACTATGCTGTAATACTGTTTTTATTACAGCAGCTTTGTAGTATAATTTCAGGTCAGGGATTGTCATATCCTTCCTTGCCCTTTGTTGCCTAGAATTGCTTTTGCTATTCTAGGTCACTTCTGATTCCAAATGAATTTTAGGATTGCTTTTTCTAATTCTGTGAGATATGCTGTTGGGATTTTCTTCATTAAGTTTATTAGTTCATTTTAGTTATACAATGCAATGACATTCAACATTGGGAATTTGATAATCTTTACAGAATCTGTCTTGGTTCTTATTTTTTTCTTCCATTGCCCTGTCCTCCCTTCAACCCCGTCCATCCGTCTCTATTTACAAAGACTTTGTTCCCATTTTTTCCTTTTCTCATATTTTTTTTATTTCCCTTCTTTCCTTTTCTCTACCCCTCCTAGTTCCCTTTCCCCTTTAGGCCTTTTCTTCCTATTTCATATTATCTATTATACATTTTGATCCTTATTTACACTTTCAGTTTATTGGGGTTGCATTAAATCTATATAACAATTTTGGAAGTATGCCATCTTCACCATATTGGTTCTTCCTCTCCAAGACCAAGGGATATCTTTCCATTTTCTGATATCCTCTTCAATCTACTTTTTAAGAGTATTGTAGTTTTCAATGCAGAGGTCTTTTACCTCCTTCATTAGACTGATTCCTAGATATTTCAGTTTTGTGGATGCTATTGTGAAAGGAGTTGTTGCCCCAATTTCTCTCTCAATGAGTTTGTTATTTGTGTACAGGAAGGCTATTGATTTTTGAGTATTGACTTTGTACCACTCTATGCCACTGAATTTGGTTATCAAATCTAGAAGTCTTTTGGTGGAGTGGGGACTTCTATGTAAAGCCCTTAAATCACACTGTCTTTAAGAAATGTAAGGAAATAACATCATGTGCTGGTAAAAATGAAAGGAAAATTCACGGATTTTCCGATAACCTTAAGCGTTTGTTAAGATTAATATAATTATCCTAGATGAAATTAAGCTCCAAAATAAAAGTGTTTGGAGAGTCTGGAACTGTAACTTGAAAGATTAAATCCTCTTCTCAGAAACAAGATAAACAAAAGGTGCTTTGACGTTTCAAAGTAGCATTTCCGGTTGATAACTTCTCAGATGAAACCCAGGAAAATTAAATCAGGCTCGGGCCGGGGATTTAGCTCAGCTGTTCGGTGGCCTGCCTTGCAAGCTCAAGGACCCGAGTTCAATCCCAGGTACCAAAAAAAAAAAAGAAAAGAAAATTAAATCAGGTTCTGGTAATGATAAGATTACAAACGGAGGCTGTTCCCAGCAGAGAGCCAAAGGCCTCAATCATTAATGAACATTTACAAATGCTGCGCCAAAGTTCTTAACATCCACCTCAAATTGTCTCCAGGAGTATTAGTCGATGGCCAGCAGGGGGCCCTTCACACCTATTTTTGGCCAGAATCAGCAATTAGGGAGAATTTTCAACAAAAGAATGGAAAACAAGTTTCTGACTTTTTTAGCTTTCAGAGTATCCAAGCTGGTAGGTTCCTCAGAACTTTAACACTGCTCCCCCTTGAGGAATTAAGTTTGGAGTTTTATTTAACTTTTTTGAAAGGTGAACTAAAGTGCAACAGCAACATCGTGGACCTGGAATCTTTTTCCCTGATACTTTCTCCCAGTTTCTGTAACGTTCAGTAGCAAAGACAGAATAGAAGTACTATTTACAAGGGAAGGGCACAAGGACAATCAAAGCAAGTAGGTTCTGAAACCTCCTTTGTTACCCATTTGTCGCTGAGTCTCGTGGAGCCAGGCTGCTTTTCACCTTTCTACCTTACAGGCACTTTTTACCTGACTTTGCCCAATATAAGTATCAAAATCATCTGCATTTCATAGTGACCAGGTATATACAGCAAGGAAGGTCTGACCAGTCGGTTTCTGAGTTCGAGAAAGATGGTATAGCCTAAAGGTTGAGGGCCTCGACTCTTGATCCAGACCACCTGATTATATTTTTGGGATCTTGTTATTATCATAGCGACCACCCTTCACCATGTGCAATACCTCCCACCCTACCCAACCATTAATCTATATACACAGATTTTGTCAATTTTGGACATTTTATATAAATTGAGAGAATGATCTTTTGTGACTGATGGCTTTAGTATGACATGTTTTCAAGATTCAATATTTTAATGTTGTGGTGTATTTCAGCACTTAATTTCTTTCATATTATTATAAGTAACTATAAGTAATAAGAAACTTATGACAATATTAAGTAATATTCCATTTGTTTATTCATCTATATGTCAATGGATATTTGGGTTATTTCTACTTTAGAGCTATTATGAATGACATCATTTTTACTAGGTATATACTTAAGGTATATCCTTTGCTAGGATTACTAGGTCACATGTTAGCCAACTTACCAGTGCTATGACAAATACCTGAGATACATCCACTTAAATGAAGGAAAAGTTTATTTTGGCTCACAGTTTCAAGGCTTCGGTCCATGGTCATTTGGTGTCTGCTTTGGAGCTGTGGCAGTGTAACACATCATACCTGAAGCACATGGTAGAGGAGGTGCTAGGAATTAAAGACAGTGACAGAGTCACACTGTCTCTTCAAATATACTTCGTCAGTCGTCCTAACATCCTTCCACTAGGCCTCACCTCCTAAAGGCTCCACCACCTCCTGACGACACCCAAGTTTTTAATATGGGCCTTCAGGAGACATTCATGATCCAAATTATGGCACCAAACCACCTGATTTTTAATCCTGTTTCCTTGGTGCTTGCTCTGTGTTCTTGGAAAAGTTGTGGTTCCATAGAAAAGGAGCCAACAACATTTTATATGACTGTAAAAAAAAAAAAAAGAGGATTAAGTAATTTACTATTTGGAAGGCTCTTAATATAAATACCATATAAATGCTTCTTTTATTTAAAATATCAATTCCCAGGTCCTCTTCCTTAAAAGCTTTGAGAATCCTTAAACCAGAGAGTGAAAGGAATAGTTTCAGCATTGACTGGGTCTGGGAAACATCTGTGCTGTTCCAACTCTACTCACAGTTTTTAGTTCTCCCATTCTAGCTAAGCCCCATTGTTCCCTACACGAACTATTGCTTCTTGTTTTAGTGCCTTTGAGGGATTTATAAATAGTCCTTATCTCTGCATTGGCTCAAGTTCAAAGTTCACCTAAGTATAAGTTTTTTAGAGGCTTTGTTTTCCTACAATATGGTTTGCAAATGTCTGGCTTCCTGCTTTCTCTTAAATCCTGAGGAAGAGTGTTATTTATTTCCTCTGTCTTACACTTTTAATGAAGCATTACTTTTCATGTGTCTCTCTCACATAGCTCTGAAGAACCCAGTTTTATTAAGCTCCATTTTTGGTAAGAATCTCTCATTTTAGTGTCCAAACTCTGTGGATCCCACTATGATGTGGTACCATGTCTTTTCCTGAGTAGCTATTAAACATCCTACATTGCTAGTGAGCTCCAAAGTTCATCATTCAGATGACTTTGGATCTCAAATATTATTACTACAAAAAATAGCTTGGGGGACTAGGGATTTAGCTCAGTGACACCACGCCTACCTCACAAGTGCAAAGTCCTGAGTTCAATCCCTGGTACCAAAAGAAAAGAAAAAAGAAAAAAAAAAAGCTTGGTAAAAGACAAAATATGTTTAAAGTCAATTGACTAGAAAATATTAAATGTTCTTAAACAAAAATAATGAAAACAAACTATATTTACTGAAAGTTTACTGGGTAGTAAGCCCTGCTTTCTTTAAGGAAAATTTTGGACCTGATCAAATTTGGAGTAAGGCATGAGGTCATTTGAATGTCCTGAGTAGCACAACTTCCTGTTATAGAATGTTCGTGGAGCTTTTTGCCATCACAGAAGTTCTGAAACACAAAAGCATACACTTTGCTTTGCATGGTCACAGGATATGTGAACAAGAGATCTCCAAACTGGTTCATCTGTTGTGTTCAGGGATATACAATCCAATTTATGAGAAAGAAATTCCCTGAAGGAGGTGAGGCCTGAGAATGACCTTGACCCTGAGTATGGAGCGAGAAGAGCAAGCCTGAGCTGGAAGCTTGGCTGACTGCCAGATGGAGCAGTGGCTCATGGTAGCAGGAGGCTGACTGCATTGGACCTTCCCTGATATTGCTCTGTTCCCCCTAAACATTGGTGTGTAACGAAAGGAAAAAGGTGGCGTACAAGTGACAGATCTGTCTAGGGACCTAACCGTTCTGTGATAAATACCTGCATATCTGATCATGAGACTCCAGAGAGTTTTTCTACTAGACAGAAAGAGACAAGCAAGAGATGAAAAAGACATGAGAACATAGGGACTCAGCCTTGGGTTCTTCAAGACAGAATACATTCATGGGATAGGCTTCTGCCAAAGGACTGAACTGCTGCTAGTCCAGCATGTTTAGACTCAAAGTTTTGAAACTTATGATAGTATTATATATGGTGGAACATTCTATATCTTGGCAGGTAAAGCCTAAAGCAATACACTGAACTGCTGCTAGTCCAGCATGTTTAGACTCAAAGTTTTGAAACTTATGATAGTATTATATATGTGGAACATTCTATATCTTGGCAGGTAAAGCCTAAAGCAATACACAATATGTACAAGTAGCCTTCACAATTAGTTTTAGAGAGGAAAAACTTACATAATTTACCTACGTGTACAGAGACAATAAGATGAAGTGCCAAGAAGGAAAATCAGCACTGTCTCACCTTGACCCCAAAACCTGCATCTTTCCCCCCAATACCTTAAAGCTTTTCAAGATAAGGAACACTGGATAGATCACAGGAAATAAACAAGTAAACCTTTACTGTAATAATGTACGGTCACTCTTTCAAAATAATAGTGATCAAGAGCACATAAATTGAACAACTGCTATATGCCTTTTGATTGGCTTGTTCAACAGTGTGATTTACTCAAAAATGTATCAGTAGCTTGAATTTTTATCCTATTGTATTTTCATCAGTGTAGGAATAATGCCAAAGCTCTATGCCCTTGAGGTCTAGATTTTCCTAATCCTCAGAGGGAGAGTTAATAGGGCTCATTTCAAAGCCATCAGCCAATTAAAGAATTAAACTGAATTATGCCCCAAAGGGAATGAAAACAGGCTCAATCCTGGAACTGATTTCTCTGGTGAATATATGGGGAGATTTTGAATTTCTTCAAGTACTTGGACTTAACATTCCAGAGTAACAAACCCTTGCAGGGGAATGTATATTTCAATATAAGTGAGAACTAACCATTAAATATCCTGTCTTGAGCACATAGTATAAGAAATCTGGGACTGAGTAGTCAGCAGAGAGGAACATTATACAGTACCCCCAAGGGGGCCATCTCTAGCATATGGCAAATATCAGTCTTGAACTACAAATAATCATTTAGAAGAAAAGCTGCCTTGTACATTTGCGATGGTTTTGTACAAAGCAGTTCTGTCATCCACATGGAGCCAAAGGGGAAATGGTCACGCCTATGAACCAATAAACAGGTTCTCTCCCATTTTCCTAGGATTATGTAAGACCCAGGGACTTTGAACCATAAAGAGAAAAACCCCAGTTGGTAACTCATATTGGATTTATTGCTCCACTCACTACATCGTGCTTTGAAGGTAGATTCACTTAGAAAATTAAGAAGCATGATATCTCTTACGTCTGGAATGCCACCATGCTGTCCACACCTTCATACAAACAATAACTCATTTTTTACTCACATTAAAAGCATTGCTGAAATTTTAGTATCATTCTCTTCTTGCAGACAAAGTAGTTAGAATATAAAACAACTTGAATGTGATGTATAACTCCTGAGTCTTTCTAAATCTGAAGAATTTAGACCTTTCAAACTTTACAACTCCATAAGAATCACTGTAGCACAACAGCTCAGCAACATGCCTTGAAAACTATTTCATAAAGTCTGTCACCCAAGCTATATAAGCAAATCGTTACCCAGCATAAACAGGATGTATAAGAGATCTCATTCTTTAAGAAAAACTTATTATGAGAAAATGAAAAAGTGGAAACAAAATCTTTGTAAATAAGGAGGGGTGGAGGGGTTGAAGGACGGCAGGGGAATGGGGAAAAAATAAGAACCAGGATAGATTATATAAAGGTACAAATGTTCAATGGTGAATGTCATTATATTTTACACCTAAAATGTACCAATAAAATTAACAAAAAAGAAAAACTTATTAATATGTAATTAGAGAAGGAATAATACAGCTGTTCATAAACAGGCATATTTTAAATTTAATTGGATAGTTACAGCATAAATAGTTGCCTTGCACTGAGCTTCAAGACAGCTGCAGTGCCAAGACAGCTACAGTGCCATAGGAATTTAGGTAACAGCTAATGGAAGTAGAACAGAAAGATTTTTAGATAATCTGTCAGAAAGCACACTGCTCAACATCTAGCTCCATATACTTTAAAATTCTTAATTTCTCTGTGTCTCAGATTTGTCATTTTAAACTGTTGATAGTAATATGCTCCTTTCTTTAACATATGTATGCAAAAAAATGCTTATAGAATACAATGAGCTATGTAAATAAACGACAGACTTTTACTGTCCTCCAGCCTTTTCATTATTTTCTTGTCTTCATGATTCATTTTCACTATGTTAGCTAATTTTATGTGTCAGTATGACTAGGTTATCATAGCCAGCTGTTCAGTCAAACATCACTATAGATACTGCTTCGAGATTATGTTTTAGAGGTTGACATTTAAATCAATACTTTGAATAAAGTAAATGTTCCTTTATTAAGATATGTATGCTACATCCAATAAGTTGAAGGCCTTAAAAGACTGAAGTCTCCTCCAAAAGAAGAAATCCCGAGCTGAGTGCAGTGCTCTGTGCCTGTTGTCTCAACTACTCAGGAGGCTAAGGCCCGAGGATTACACACCTGGATAACATATAGTGATACCCCACCTCCACTATGAAAAAAATTAAAAAAGAAATTGTGTCTCTAGACTGCTTCAGACTCAAGACTGTGATATCAGTCCCTCCAGGAGTTTATACCCTACTCACCAGCCCTCCAAATTTCAAACTTATTATCCCCAAAATCATGTGACCCAATTCTTTTAAATCTTCTCTGACTCTGGCCCTCACTCTTTCTCTCTCCGACCAATGAGATTTGTGTGTGTATCTATATCTATATACATATACACATATGTGTATAAATGTATACGTGTGGTTCTGTTTCTCTGTAAAATCTTAATACAACAGTTGCCCTGAAGTAAGAACTTAGATGAATCCAAAAACATGGAAAGCAATCAAAAAGAACTTCAAAATATACTGAATGTACTATTTTATTCTCAATATATTTTCTATTGGTCAATTTTTGAATACTCATTATTATTAGCAAATGTGTCATAATAATGATTTCTCTTATTGCAATGAAATATGCGTATTTAATACACTCAGGGAAGCATGCCGACACAAGACTGCTCCCTGTTGTCAGGGGTGGCCGTGATTTGCCTATTGTGGTCTGAGCACGTGTCTCTGCTCAAGGTGTCCCTTCCATCACAGTGCTTCCCCACACACATCCTTTTTGCAAAAAAAGCTACAGCTTTTTCCTCTAAGGCACAGCTCAGTGACACTTACATTGAAATACTCAGTTCTTTAACTGAACATGGTACTACTTCTTTGGAGTTTGATTCTGCTATACTATTTATTACTTCCTCTCCTGAGTTATAGTTATTTGTGTGCTTGAGTTGCTCGCACCTTGAGGGTAGCATTTGGGGACCTGGAGGATAGCATTACTGACCAATCATAGTTTTTTCCAAAGCCCACCATAGCTTCTTGCTGCAGATATCTTCATAAACATGTGCTGAATA